ATCTTGGATTTTCTTGTTTAAGCTTTTTCCATTTTTAAGCATCAGAAAAAGAAATTTTAGCAAAAATATTTCTTAAGTAAATATCTTGTGAGGTCAACATTTTCCTGAATTTTAGTTAATGTCCTTTACTTTTAAATTATTTCTATTATCTGTGCTCACCTGTGCAGCACATATACTAAAAGTGGAATGATACAGAGAAGATTAGCATTTGAATAAATAAGTAAATAATTTCTATTATCAAAGCCATTTTAAAGACCAAAAGGATGATCCGAGATGCCCACAGTCTCTGATGATAGGTTTTGCAGTAAATGTTGATCTGTATTGATACACTGGCAAACAAAAAGAGTGACTATTAGGTTCATACTGGTTTCTTCAATATGAACCATAGCATTGGATACTCAGTAGATACCCAATAGATACATAAACATCTTTAAGTTCTCAGTATATCAGTGAATCAGTTACAAAAAGAGAGCCTTAACTACCTTATCTCTGTAATACATTAGCATGATTTGAAGGAGTTCAGAGATGGGCAACACTTTGAGGAAGACGTTTTATGCTGTAAATGTCATTAAAAAGCCCAAAATACTGTTATCTCATTAATACTGTTTCCTTCTCCCAATCCCTCTACCATTACACAATTAACAGTAACTACAAAAATTAACAGTAACTACAAATAATTGATTTCAATAAATAAATAGCAATATAATTTATATGTAATTTCTAGAAGATCCCAGAAGAAACATAAGTATGCTTACCTGTGAGGGTCCTTGGAACTTGGTATAATATATACACATTCCCTCTTGGTCAAAGTGCTTTCTATCCAGGATTTCTGGGACTAAAGCAAAAAGTTTTAAAGGATGGTTTATAAGTTAACCCACTAAATAAAAAGAAAATAACTTCATAATAAATACATAAAAATAGTGCTATGCTATTTTTTTAATTCACTAAATATTTACTACATGCTATACTCTCACTGATGATGGCACACCTAAAACATCAGAATAATTCCATTTCAACCCAATGTGATTTAGATGATTAAATCAACAGTCCTATGCAGGTGCGGTTGCTTGAAATAGCCAAAGAGGAAGGAGGCCAAATTTGAGATTCGTACTGTGAGCCGAAAACCGCAAGAGCAGTTGGTGTGATCCTGGGATGTGGGCCATTTAAAATATAATTAAAGGTGATGGTCAGATTTAATATTTAAAAAAAATACCCAGCACTTTGGGAGGCTGAGGTGGGAGTATCTCTTGAGACCAGGAGTGCAAGACCAGCCTGAGCAACACAGTGAGACCCCATCTCTACAAAAAATTACAAAATTAAGTGGGTGGCCTGATCACAGCTCACTACAGCCTTGAACTCCTGGGCTCAAATGATCCTCCTGCCTCAGCCTCCCAAGTAGCTGGAACTACTGGTGTACATCACCATGCCCGGCTAATGTTTTTATTTTATTTTTATTGTTTTGTAGAGATAGGGTCTCACTATGTTGCCCAGGCTGGTCTCAAACTCCTGGCCTCAAGCGATCCTTCCCCCTTAGCTTCCCAAAGTGCTACAATTACAAGTGTGAGCGACCATGACTGGCCAAGGTCTATTCTCTTAGCATATTTCAAGTATACAATATATAACTGTTAACTGTAGTCACCACCATGCTGTACATTAGGTCTCTGAAACTTATTCATCTTATAAGTACAGGTTTTTACCCTTTAAACAAAATCTCATTTTCCACACCCTACACTCCCTGCCCCTGGTAACCATCGTTCTACTCTTCTGTGTTTTTGACTTTTTAAACTTTTATACATAAATGAAATCACACAGTATCTCATTTCTGTGTCTGGCTAAAATTGTGATACACACACAAACACTGATATATTATTCAGCCCTAAAAAAAGAAATATCCTGCCATTTCAACAACATGGATGAACAGCATGGATGAATCTAGAAAGCCATCATTTCTTGTAACCACCTCACAGACACAGCTTCCAAATCCCTGTGATAGATGTGCCCAGTTAGAGGATTCACTGCGCACAGGGAAACCCAAAGCCTATTACCAGATATTTATTAGTTTCCCAATCCACATACAATTTACCCACAAGCAACACTTAAAATGTTGCCTAAAACAGTTCACTGTATTCTTACAAGGCTGTCAGAGAAACAGCTAGGAAGTTAAACAAAGGTCAGTTACTCAGGTAGCAGGGCAAAAGGTCTTATTAACTCTTTGCCAAAGTGCATACAACAATGAGATTAATTAGCAGACAGTGTACTTTCAGTCACTATTCTAAACATTTTACATGCTCCCAATAATCCTATGAAATGGACATTATTAGTACTCCCACATTACAGATGCA